TTACTGATAGTATCCTAACATTAACTTTCATTTTAAATTTTGACAGTTGATTTTAAAATCAAGACAAACTGAGTCAACTAATCAAGAAAAAGAGAACCTCATGATGTGTGTTGAATTGCCAGGGACACCTATGCTAAGACTTCAGGTCTTTATACAGCTCAGTGGCCGGGTCTTTCTTGGCGAAATATTTGCAAAGTACACACGAAGCCCTCGCTTGCTCCGTAAAAAGTTCTCTTTCTCGGTACTTTTCATTCGAAAATTGTAAACTTAGTAGAGGACTTGCGATTTTAGATGCGAAAAGCTGGATTTGGCGACTAGTGCGAGCTATTTTAAGGTAAATATTTGAAGTTTTTCTTGCATTTAGTCTTCCCGCCTTTTTATTGTGTTAACTTGGCCTGCAAAAACAGACAAATTTATTGCAAGATTCTTATAGTTTGATTCTAAAATGTTTTTCAAATAGTTGTTTCTATCATTTTTGATGCTGGTCGATTTATTTTTTCTGGGGGGCTGTTGCCAAAAGAGTTTTTCAGTCGCAAAACTGACGGCGAAGTATTTTTTTGTTTCTGATCAGCATGAATACATGATATCGCGAGCCTCCGATATTTACCTTAAAGTTCCTGGGATATTTTAATAGTCTATAACAATTCGAATTCGTATCTTTAGAAGCAGTAGAAGCTAGGACAGAAGTCCACAATGCCCGGTAGAGGGTAGAAGAAGCAATGCCAATGGGAAACTCAAACACAAATTTCAATACAGGAAAGCCCTAACCAGGCCCTAACCTAGCGAAACGATGTTGAAAACAACCCCAAAATAACTGTTCAATTCTCAATGGACGAAGCAACTTACCATGATGCAGTAAATCTAGGTATGTGGAATTTTTTTCCTATTCTTTTTATATTAGCTAAGCCTAAGTTACTTGAAATTATTCCTTCCTTATACTCACATGTTTCTGCTTATTTGTTTGAGTATGTTTGCATTGTGGATCACATAGAACATATAGATTTTGAAGGTCTGTTGAACAATGTGCTCTGTTATATGCATACAAAGCACACTACTCGAATTTACACTCATATACATGCAATTTTTCTATTTGTTCGTAGATTGAAGACTCGTTTCGTGCAATTGGCACAACAGGAAACCTCCGAAAATTTTACTACGAGAAAAATTGTAAAAGAAGAAACGTGGATCAGTATTGCTTATACAGCCAGGTCATCATCTTGGTACAGTGAGTCTTAGCTTAGTAGAAGCTCTAGTAGAACTGAACAACCAGTGTCTTAATACTATACCATTATGTTTTGGGCATGCATGGTACTCCACTTAAAAACATTTTCTAAATTTTTTGCAAATGTGCATGTGTGTTAAAGTGTAAATAAAAAGTATTAAAGAGCTATACTATAGAAGCAATTCCTTTAATGCGTAGTTGACTTGCTGTACTCAAACAGAAATGTAATTGATCTCATGTATTCAATATTATAATAATATAATAACGATATTTGTGCTGCATTGTTTGTTGACTCGATATTATAGGTAGAAATCTTCGATGGAACGGAATATTTCGCTCAATTTATTTATCTTTTCAATTGTGAAATTAAACCGAGGCAGATTTACTGGATAGATCACAATTGAAAAGAAAATCAAGCGAAAAATTTCCTTCGATCGAAGTAATTTACCTATATAGTAGAAAACCGGCCTAACACCTAAAACGGTGTTAAATGTTTTTAACTCCAAAAATGGAGTTATGTTTTAAGTTCAGAATTGGAGTTAAATTAACTCCAAAAGCGGTGTTAAATTATAACACCAGAAGTGGAGTTATTTGTTACTCCAAAAAGCTACTCATTTTGAACCTTTTTTTTTGACCCCTTTTTTGGTGTTAAAATAACTCCCTAAAAATAACAGTGTGTGCTGTCTAACTGCGCAATATTCTATTAATTTTAGTGCTGTGCTACGAAAACTAATTAACTATGCATGTATTTATTATACTCACACCAGGATGCTGCCTTTAATTCCTGGTATTTGCTGACTGGTTCGAAGAAATGATTTGCATAGCAAAATAAAATGAAGAAGGCGCAAGCTTTCTATATTACTTCTAAAAAATATTTCCAACCCAATCTTACAAAGAAGTTGGATATGTTTGGTCAAAATCTTAAAGAAAATGTATAGCTATAGGTAAAAAATGTTTGATTACCAATTTTCCATGCAAAACATGTTTTCAACCTTTATAAAAACAATTAAATTACATCGGAAGGAAAGCCCACGCTATACGCTCCCTGTTGAACGCTCAAATCCAGTTGTTTCTAATAACAAGACTATAGATACCGATGCAAATTACATAAATTAGTATTTTCGTACCCCAGATACATTTTAATATTGGATATAATAAGTGTAGTAATTAAACGAAACCCGTATATGAGGGTTGTTATGAAAATAATTTCCAACTCGAAATTTGGCGGAACCCTGCGTTGATTTCTAAATATAATTCTAACACTTTAAACGAGCATTGTGCATTGAAAATTACCACCAACTGGCAAAAATGAAACTGCAATAATCTTTATTTAGTGAGCATGCTGTGCTACTAAAAACTAATTAGCTAACTATGAAGGTTGCTGGCCTCTAATTCCTGATATTTAGGACTGGTTTTAAAAATCACATTCTAGCAAGGCAGAAATAAATGTACATGGACGTCTTTAGTGCTTGTTATTAATTCTGATAAGTATTTCTACGTACAAATTTCAATTAAAAAATAAATAGAAAATGTCAGATAAATTGCTTATTATGTTTACTAACTGCATGCAGTCATCAACTGTTCACTTTGACTGAGGGTTTGTGATAGATAATAACGTGAGCAAAAGTAATTATAATGTGAGCAAAAGTATACTTCATATTGACTATTTAAAAATGTTATACCAGAAGAATACCGGCAATTTAGATTTACTTTCCGAGGGCCAATAAAGCTTATTCATGAAACAGCTGTAGCTATAGGTCTTTTATATAGACTATTAATAATATAAACACATCAATATTATTCATCGGAATTTCGGCATGTTTTACTTTCGTTTTCGTATGGTGTACAGCTTCGTAAACAAATTAGGCCTAATGCGTGCATGCATGGAGTAAAATTAGCTGCCATGCCAATGATTTTGAACCACTCTCTTTTTACGAAGTATATCATGAATTTAGAAAAGCACAATTGTTTCATAATTATTTTTCAACAGGATTGAATAATAAAGATTATAGAGGAAGTTGGTTATTAGCTAACAGATCTTTTAAGCCGTATTGCACATAAATTGTATTGTTTTTACCAGGTTTACCGTTTTAATTTTCAGAGCGTAAATTTAACTCTATGCAAGATAGAAATATTATGAAATCAATCTCAAACCAGTGAATTTTTATGGACAACAACTTTTCTAGTGATGTATACGCTACAAACGAGAAGTGGGTTTACACTTCGCTTCTAGTACACAGGAGAGACTGGAGAGTTATGTTCCTGCTTGATCGAGGAGCCCGACTGACTTTATTAAAAACAAGACGCCGGCTCGGCGTTTACCTTGGGTCGGTGCATAAATATAGGGTTTGTTTGGAAACTTTAGTGTGTATAAACCGGTTTAAAAGACTATTAAACTATTTGCAATGCTAAAGCCCGCCGCACACGTGAGCTATTAGCTGAGCTGAAGACCACGCGTGGCTGTCAGCTCAGCAAGTTACTCTCGTGTGCGGATAGTTTTTCGTGAGAAATTCGCCTGAAGAGGCAAGTTTCTCACGTGTGCGGATGGTTTTCGGGCTGAGCTAACTGCCTCGCGAGGTTGTTAGCTCAGCTGATAGCTCTCATGTGCGGCGGGCTTAAAGCTCCGTGACTGCATGATTCATTCTGCCACATGAAAATTGACCATTCCAATGTAATTGTTTACGAATCAGGGTCCCTGACCATCAAATGCCTTTGGCTTTTCTTCTACAACCGACAAAATGAATTGAAGCAATTGTGCTTGCAAAGCTATAATCCAATGGTGAATAGCTAAGTATTTGAATGTAGAGTATTAAAATATCGAAACCTGTCTAAATAGACAGGATTAGTGAAAGGTTTCTATTACACAAAACCCACTCGCATATTAGCTCCTCATGTGTTGGCCAAAACAAGGAGTAACGACGAGGGCGAACCCCAAGAAAAATGATCAAATGGAAAACATTGGTCCTTGGACGGCGAACAAGAAATCAAAATTTGCTATGCTGTGGATTGTAGCCTTACCCTGTAATGAAGCTTATATATTCAGAACGCTTTGCCTAATTAAAAGAATCCCGAGCCACACCACAAATTAAACCACTGACTAATGATGATTTGAGATTTTTACAAAATTAACACTCACAACTAATTATGCTTGTGAAATTTTATGATGAAGTGACTTGCAAATTTAACGTTTCATACGGATTAAATATTATTATTTAAGTATGAAGAGTAAACAGTTGGTTTATCTAACACGCAAAGTCGAATCTATCAACGAATCTAAATTATTAAATATCATAATTTCCACACAATTCTGTCATTTTCATGTGTTAATTTACACTCAAAATAAACTTCGATGGTAAATCAATTTTCAGTTTAATTTCTTGGAGATCCATTAAGGCAAATTCAATTTCATCTGTCTTCGCATGAATAGACAAGCCAGCTTTGTTAAGCAAAACGGTAAAACGGTGTTTTGATTATGACGTAACCTTCGGAAAACTCCGTAAATGTCGTGCGATTCGAAGATTGAAGAGTAAGAAGTTGCAGTAATTTATGCGCCGTGGCCGCGAGGGAGACTGCTGCCTAGAACCCCACCAAAAAAAAAAAATAATAAAAAAAACAAACAAAGCCGAATTTATGACCTTGTGTCTACCGACCCAAGGTAACAACAATTTTCCCATATGGATGTGAATATGAACATATGAACATGAACCTCCTGCGGATGGCTCTGTCAAGACGATTCCAAAGAATATAAACCATTTAGTATCGTTTCATGGTGAGTATATTTATTAGGTAATTTGCAGTTGCTTACTTAGAAAAAAAGAAAAGATTACATATGTGAATCAGTTACATACAATGTGCTAACAATGAAATACTATGATACTATAAGATTATTTACAAATGTTTGTTTACCACTAGTAAAAGTCAAATCTCACTAATCATGCTCACTATTAACAATAAGAATTGTGTATGGGAAAGCGACAAGTCAAAATGTTGACAATTTGATAATTTGCTTGTTCATTTAATGAGATGATTATTTTCCTCCGACTGGCAAAGTTATGCTTCGGGAAAAAAACGACTGAATTTATAAGTGCACAAACACCGGGCGCGAAATTAGTCAGTTACAATTTAGGACGGCAACATGACAACGACAGCTTTATAATAAACTCTGTTTACTGAAAACATGTCGTTTATTATCTGTTGTGTACAGTGATAATGGTTGAAGACATCAGTTTATGACCGGAGTTCTATTAAAACAAGATTTAAAATTTCAGCTAAAGGTAAGACTGAAATGCAAACAGGACGCGAGAATCTGTGATTTTCCGCGTTTTGAAAACAGATAACAACGTCTAGTGAATTCCCTTTGGACTTTTAATATTCAATTTACTCATTATTAGCTGCTCTCGCTGTCACAATTGGCGTCGTAAATCTTTTGTGTTTTAGGCGTCGAAAGTGTTCAGGATGGAGATACCATACTCACTAACTACAGTACTGTCCAGAAATAACCGAAGAAAAACCGCGGTTAACCTAGGTCAAACCTTGGTGTGATCGCATTGAACTGAGGTCAGACCGAGGTGGAACCGCGGTGAGACGGAGGTTAAACCACGGCCTTACTCGGTCTGACAGACATTTCTTAAGATTTTTTCGATTTAATTATTGCGTTGTCCTTCTCAGCTGTTCATAATATTTCGTTCGGAAGCGAACGGCCACGTCGTCTGCGGTTTTCGGTCGATCGTGTCGTTTTCGGCCACAACCGCAGTGTTAGGTTATTTCTGGATAGTACTGTAGTCCAGGACCTCGCGGGCTTCGTGATTACATATAAATGATTACATTTGAAAAATTTAAAAAAGCCGCATCAAAAACGAGGTCAGCCGGTCAAATAGCGACGGATCATTTTTAAAAAAATGTATAATTTTTAATTGATTTAATTTGATTTGATTTGGTCGCTGTATTCACTTGAATTTGGCTCCAAAGATGGCGAATGTTGCATTTCAACGCTATCGGTTCTCCTTACAACAATGGTTGAAGAACCCTTGCTCAAAGATGGGTTGAAAGCGCGAAAAAAGGTATCAAAATTATGGATAGATATGTCCTTTTTAACTACGTTCAAGCTTACTGTTGCTACGGTGTCTTCTTTTTCCACCAGTGTCATCATGGACCTTATTTGTATCTTTTGCTTCATGTTATCGAGTTGATTTTGTTCAGAGGTATCTTTTCTCCATAAAGTATCGAATATAAACGGCAACGTGCTCAATGTAATTGTGCTGATTATTTGAATCGTTACGGAGATGTTAGATTCTTGGCCTGAGGAAATCATGAAAATTAAAAGAAGAAAGAAATTTGCAACCAAAAATATTTTGACAAAGAAATAGAAGAAGACTCTGTCAAATGGCAAAATCGCTTCTCTTGCCATGTTGTAGAGAGGTTTGGGAACCTTGCCATTAGTAACATCAACAAGAAACATTGGTGATTCGGTTATTCCTTTTGGTTTGTTCTCTTCCCATAATTCCTTGCATACTTTGTAAATGTTTATTTTAAGAACTAAGTACTTTGTTTCGACTGACAATCTCCATTGCTTTAACGAATAGATTATAACAGCTATAATGGGTATGAGGTATGGAATGTAAAGTTGTGCATTAAGACAAATACCAGCAATCATTAAGAAAATAAGATTCGAGAAAACGGAAGTGGTAAAGATACACCAAATTGCTGCAGATAAGGATAAACAAAACTTTCCAACAAGCAACAGAGGGTGATGATGTTGGATCCAATTTCTAGGATTTCTAGGCCGTAATTTCTTTATTATTACATGCCCTACAGTTAACATAACGGAAAGAAAAACAATAATGTAGACGATTGGAAAGAGAAAAACGGAAATTATAGCCCACAAAATCATTGCTCTTTTTCTTTTAAAACGAAAAATCACTGAACAGAAAAGTCTCCACCAGAGTTTAATATTAAAAAGAGAAGTGATTGTAAATATATAATTATTAAAGCTTTGATCATCAAAATAGTGTTCCGGGTCGTTTAGGTAAAAAATATCAAATGGCACCATGGCACAAAAGAATGCTACGGATACAAGGATAGCGGGAACGAGAGGTAAAATTATAAAAGGCAGTAATCCAAGTAAAAGCCATACGAAAAGCCTTCGAAAAATAGATATTGGAAAGCCACGCCCCGCGACGAAAAGGGTATAAAAAATTGTTGAAATCGCTAATGGACTGTAACTTATTTCATAATCTTCTTTTACTATCGAAGATGATCCCAAATGTTGTATGATTAAAGGGAATAAAATAGAACTCAAGAAAAGTGCGACGATTCTTACGTATGCATTGGCTCTAGCGATCTGCATTGAAGCATAATCAGCACAAATTGTGAGGTTACCAGTGGTTATTCTGCAACAGTTATATTGTTTCAAGTCGTCCTCGTCATCGTGAGGGTGACATAACTTATAATCGTGAGTGTCGTCTAAATGAGAAAGCTGGTGTAGGAGAAAGTTGAAAACAAGTTCAGTTCCATTGTTTCCGGTTGGCAGACATCCGTCAGTTAACTCAGAGACAACAACATTCACCTTTGCGATCCCTGGTGTTAGCGTAAAACAGAAAAACTTATTGCCTGCTACAGATGTTATCAATGAAATAATTGTTCGACCAATTTCGCCTGCCCAAGACCATTTATACTTAGGAAAGGATCGCGTTTCGTTCTTTGAGTCGATTGTCAATTCTATCTCCACCCCATTGGTAGTATACTTATGCATGGCATTAATAATATTCTTAACATCCGATTCACTAATTCGAAGTTTGGGCTTGTGGCTTTCGCATCTATTCGTTGTGTTTGTCAAATTAAGGTTTGTCATTGGCTGGTCTATTGCAACATTTTTACCTCCTGGTGAAGATGTTGAATTTTCGTTAGCAAAAACAGCCAAAGATAGGAAGAGCGAAACAACTGCGAGCGTAGGATATGCAAATGAAGCCATTGTCTTCCACTTAACCAAATGTAGGTTCCTCCTTGAGTAAAATTTCAAAACCTGCAATATTTTAAAGATACTTTTGTAGATCTCTTTTTGCCGATTCAGATTTATAGGGTGTATCAAAACAGCTGGACACTGTGTAGAATATCTTCAGGGCGTAGCTAGCGCAACGTTATAAGCTAATCGAAACCAAGAAGCTTTAATTCGCTATGCTTCAATGAATAGCAATATCTGTAAAGACTATTTTCATTTGTCTTTTGATACACGTTTTTGTGCCCATGTTTCGGAAATAATTATGATTTCTTCATGCGCACTCTCATCTACACGGCTTTTTAAGACTGAATTACACAGTTCGGGAGTGACATTTATTGAAGTACATTTGAATAATATTATCATAATGATGTATTCATTGTGTTAACATCAACTTGTGTTTATAGCATGCATAAAAAGGTTACCCGTAAGGAGCACTTAGCTCTGTGGGTTTTACCAGTCTTTAATTGATAAAGATTGTAGAATAAAATAAAATAAAAATCAGTATGCCAAAAGTCTAGGAATGTGGCATGAAAAAGTAACGCATGAATAACACAATTCAAGTCAAGTCTCACCTTAATGAGTGGAGATGATATATAGTCTTGATTCCTGGTGACCGCTTGTACTAGATTAGTTTATACTTTCTGTTGTCAACCAATCAACCTGTTAACTATATATAGTTTAACAGAAAATCTATCAGTCTTTATCATACTACACTATCATACTACACCATAGGAATGCAAGTCGGCACACAATATGACCAACTTAACGTTATAATTTGCATACAACCACATTATAGTCAAATAAAGAATGCATGGTTGGTGGCCTCCAGTTCCAGGTATTTTGAAACTGGTTTTAAGAAATAAAATTTATTTGGTATATCTGTTAATTATATTAGAGTCAGATCACCCGTTTGTGTTTCTTGTTTCGAAATAATCGTGTTCAAAATCGACAAATGTAAAGAATATTGACCATACAAAATGTCTTTGGAACGGTATTTTGAGTGGTTTATTAGTTGACCTGCATCTAAGAACGAAAGGGGACTTATAGGCTCATTAATATCATTACCGAGACGTAAGCCTAAGCAACACCGCTGCTTCCTACTGGTTGCTGCTTTTAAATTTGCATGTTTAGGGAAAATGCATGTGTGTTATTGGTTGTGACGAAAGGGGACGAAATCCTAAATAATTCAATGTCGATATATGCATGTATTTTGTACGGATCAAGTCAAAACGGGTCTTTCAAACTGATAGCTAGATAAATGCATTTATATGGTAGGGAAAAAATACGCAAATATTTATCTTGGCAAGATTGGAATAGAAGATGCGTTCCCCTAGCGCTCTTGTCAGATAGATATAGAATGTAGTGTGACTGAATGCCCTCGTAAATGTATAATACAGAGTTTATTAGTCGGTGTTTTACAGACCTCGATCAATAATCTGGTCACAGCCACAAGGGAAAAAGCACATACCGCAAATCAGGAATATTCTTTAGATCAATAATTTACTGAGTTTCATCTATGAAAATCAGTGGCGTATACCCATGCAGACTGGCGATTTAGTCCTGCTATGGAAATGTTATTAACATTATTCATTTCTTTAGAAATTCATTGTTTTCACTGTCAACAGCAAAATATCAGCATAGTGGGACTAAATTGTCAGGCTGACTATTAAAATCATTTGCATTTAAGAATTGCTCACTGCCTATACAACAAACAACAAGTATGAAAGTGACCATGGAGAACGAAATTGTTGATTTAAATGTCCTATATGTGAACTTAAACAATATATTTCAAGTTTTGTTTACCATCTATACATACCTACCGCTACTTTACCGCTTTTTAATGTTCGTATATTGTGTTATGAATATTGTGTTAGGTATGGTGAAAGACTGTACAGCTATCCAAATGACAAATTACATTGCATAATACTGCTCATATTAAAAGTCCCAAAGGCATAATGACGGTGGAATATTTGTTGACTAGCTGGCGGTAATACAATTTGACTTAAAACGTCTTTCGAGAAATAACGGGGGAAATTTGCAGTCATGCAGATGACAACCAAAGGAATGGCTGCTATATTAGCATCATATCATAAGTTCATAGGAAACAATCTGCATACAAAAGTTGTTTTATAGCTGGCATTAGCATATGCACTGACATAGCGAATAAGATCTCGGGATTTTGACGAAAGAACGTTGCATAAATGAATATTAGTCCGCTTTCGTCCTTAGATGCATGTCAACTATTGAGACGACAATATTGTTTAAATTTGAAAGCCATTCGCTGGGCTTCAATTTCATTATTTAAAATACGCTTTCTGCCTGGTGTGTGTCAATGGCCACTGTTTTCAAACGGCAATCAGTATAGTCTTCAAAGTGCGCCTTTATTACCTCGGTATGAACTTGACTAGCAAGGATTTGAATATTTCAATAAAACAATGGGCTTTGGCTTGACAAAGTTTATATTTAATATACTATATGAATCACATTATGACTCGAAGTCCACAAAACTACGGTACTGGGCCTGAGTGGAAAACTTGGAAAACGCACATACGACGAATGGCAGAGTCATATAGTTCATGAGCAACCCAACTTGAAACGCTGCTCGCTTAAACAATTAAGATGCCAACATAACTGAGGAAATAGCTGATAAATTCACATATAAACGTCTTACCTTTACAGCATCAAGAACCGATGTTTAAGCTTGATTATAAGTGTTGGAATACAATATAGACTAGTAAAATCTAGTAAAATGTAGTTAAATCTGGTCTTTTAACGACTAACACCTTCCTCAACAATGCACAATTAAGGGTTTGAAAACATCGTAATTTGCATATTTATTCGGTACGTATGCATGAAGGTTGCATTTTATTAACATGCATCATGAAGTTTTCTTTGTAATTTCAGCGTCGCTAGTCGTTGCGGGGGCTCATCCTTATATGAACGTGTTCGTTATCAGAATCATCGGTATGTTTCAGTTCATTTTCCATTGTATGAGATACGTAAACAAATTATGAACAAAGATATGCGTGCATGTGTTTTCATGATATTCATTGAGCCTATGCAGTGCATATATACCCAAAACTGCACCTAAATAGTATAATTGTTACGGTTTGAATGACTTTTAAGCGAACTTTTGCTCGTAGGATTAACGCAACTTATAAAATGCTAAATACGCCTCCATGCAAGAATTTAGAATTTGCTAGAAATTAAAAGGACATGTCGAAGGTCATGGTGCTTGATTTGTAAACATTATGTATTGTTATATAATATGCATATATCTGTAAATTGCAATTGTAAATCATTGGTAAAAACAAACTTTACGGTCATCATTTCTGAAAATTTGTATGTCATTTATACACTTGTGCATAGGTCCATATGGTGCTTCGGCATTCAAACTCTAACTGTCACGCATTATATATGTCTTAAAACATACTGTATGTATGTATACTTATACTGTATAATATTTACTTATTCTACATGTATAATAAATACTTTTATAATATAACATTTATAGTACGCGCGTGCTGATTGGTCGAGAAGCGTGTTTCTATAACTGTATAGAAACACGGGAATTTTCCCGCCGAACTTGACAAGCGAAGCGATGTAATGAGAATTTGTAATTGAATCGAATTATAATATTTGTACAAAATCTTTTTATTGAGTTATATTATAAAAGAAATAGAAAACATTTTTTCCTGTGTTTCTATACAGTTATAGAAACACTTGTGGGAGTTTGGGAGAACTCGAAATAACGTGGAAAAACTCGCCCTGCGGGCTCGTTTTCCCACTGATTATTTCTCGTTCTCCCAAACTCCCACGCGTGTTTCTATAACTGTATAGAAACACGGAAAATGTTTTCTATTTCTTAAATAACATACTTATAACATGTTGTGTGTATATTATATTGTATAGAGATTTTAGAATTTATCACAAAAAGCTAGTCATCCAAAACCGTATTGAGTATTTTTATTACTGCAACCATTCTTATATATAGTGTCTGCCGATTCTATCAAGCGCAACCGAACCGCGACGGAACCGCAACCGAACCGCAACCGGAGTGTTAGGTTATGTCTGGACAGTACTGTATTAACCTTTTGAAACCCAACTGGGTTGATTTTCAATTTTCATCAAGGTTCCAAATGCTATCACTTTTTGGGGATAATTCTTACACGATAATCAATTGCTCTGTCATACTGGGCTGTCAAAAGTTTGCGATTGTCTGTGAACATGCAGCGTTGTCTTGACTTATCATTGTCCATGTTAAATCAATTCAAAAACAATCATTTTGTTTTATCTTGCAACAAGAGCTTAAATACTTCTAGAAAGTCCAATGAGGAAACCGTGAAGCTCTGAATTTGAATTCACAGACTTTTAATTCAAAAATTAAATTCTGCATAATTTACTATCATAGGTCAATTACGCCATTGGCATTGGTTGCAACTGATTTATTAACAAATATATTACACCGAAGTGCACGAGTATACGTTACGTGTATATATACGTGATATGGTAAATATATGATAATATTGTATGATATGCATGTATAGCTAACTCCCGCTACACGGGCACTAAAGTCTAAAGCAATATCAGCTGAGCATTAAACGCTTTGAACACTATTGCTAACACAAAGATGCATCGAAGAAAAAATCTAGTAAATAACGAATATATGAAAAACTAGCTAAGTTAATGCACTCCTAATAGGTATAACAACAACCTACACTATGCAAGTAAAGAAGTCTAGAAATGCACGTCATAATGCGCTCTAAAAAAGGCAATCGAGCTACGGTAACCTATACTGATTATGAATATATATTGCGTGCATTAGAAATGCCCTAAAACAGCTCATGACGTCATGACGGCTTGTCGTGCACTTACTAAGTAACTACAAACTAACTAAATAACAATCGTATGGGATAAATTCGAACAGCCTGATAGGCTCAAAACTAGGGTATTTTACTACAAGATTGTGCAAAACGTT